CGAATTCCCCCCACCCTCCATCCACTCGGCCAGATTTGTTCGTCTGCATCTGTAAAACCCTACCCAACCCAGTAACTACGAGGAGGGTTCAGTGGAGAAATGTATCCGTCGTCCCGCCGCGGATTCCCCTTCCACTGCAACAGTCTCTATCCTGTGCGCCTACGATTTCGCATTTCCACCTTGAAAGTGCCCATCGAGTTGTTTGCATTTATTGATTTTTGTTGCTTGTATTTGCGTGTGCAAACAACCCACTATATTATTTTATTCTGTGTGACCAACATTTTACTTCCAAATCAAGGTCATAGAGCACGCATTTATCCCCACCTGTCGTTTTTTTCTGATCGCGCCCACTTCCATCTCCACAGTCTTCTTCCTCCGACCCTTCCCCTCTTTCCAGACGGAGCATGAGACTCCTGCAGAATTCCTACGCGCCACGCCTCTACATAGCCGTTCTTTCCTAGATCCCCATTTTGTTTGTATTTGTCCTTTAACATATGTATATGCACATTCTCTCACTCAAATAATTGCGTCCATCAGACCAGGGACCCCCTAATGTGATATTTCACGTGCGCCGTGATACTTTCCAGTTACTTATTTATTCTGTGATGGACCACCTGGAATTTGAATAAGAACCATTATGATACAAGCCCTCGGCTAACTTTCTGTCTGGTGAAAGTAGTGGAGATGGGAGTGTGATTAATGCTTCTCCTTTTTTGTTCCTTTCTGCATTTCAAATTTTTATTCCGAAAATTTACTGGTTGTCGAGTCTTACAGCTTTCAAAGTACGTTAAGGGCTTGCTTCCGCGAGGTCCCTTGTATAGTTCCTCTAGTTTTGTTCTTATGCAATATGCTCCCCTAGTTTACAAAGGGTTTGATAGATTTTGAGCTTGTAGGACGGACGCTCAGTGTGTTTTGATGCTGTTGAATATGAACACGCATGAGCTCTTTGCGTCATTCCGCCTTTGTCTCGACCATATCTTCTAGCCATGCCATTGGTGGAATCATTATCATTGCAGAAATCATCGGCATCACTATTTACGACCCTCATATTCACGTTCATCTCACTCAAAACTATGCGTTTGAACGGGGTGGTAGACGGATTGTGGTACGTCCAGCGGTTCGTGACATCCCCTCCTTCCGTCCCATAAACCGCTCCCACCTCCACTGCCGAAACCCCTGTTACATCGACGACCACCTTATGGCGAGCAACCTCTTGGTGCTCCAACACAACTACCAAAAGCTCCGCGCTGACGACGACGGCCACCCCCACAACGTATGAGAACACTCCTACCACCCACCTCCTACCCTCCACGTCAGAAATGCAGACTCGGTCACAGCCTGTTCGCATTGCGATCGCGCCGCCACGTCACGCATCGGTTTGACCGGTCACTTGCGAACCCATCGCACTGAAATTAGCGAACCAATGCCATGAGCCCAGCATACACCCATGGCACCAGCCTTAATTGCGTGCACTGCCCACTGACATTCAGTAACCGCATGGGGCTCTTCAGCCACATGCGCCTCGGTAAAAAGCTATGGTGAAACATCGCAATCCAACTCCCCCCCCCATTATACCTCACCTTACCGACGCACATATCCGAAGACCACATATAAACCCTCTGCACAATACCCGTTACACGCTCAGAACCTTCATTTCTCATGCTGGTAGGAAGCGTGTTCTTTGTTGAAGGCTGTTTCATGGCTTAGTGACCAGGTTGTGGGTGATACACGTAGACGGACTGTCGTGGCTGTCAGCCGCTGCGCCCAGTCCCAGAACCAGACAATTAACGAGTTCACAGTGGGGAGAAAGGAGAGCGAGAGCACATTCCTTACCGTAATAAATTTGACGCGCTCTGAAACTACATTGATGCGCTAGAAGTCGTGACTTGGACAGCTTCGAACTAACGGGATAAGTCGGTTCTCGCGGTCAATCCTATGTCTATGCGTGGAATGGCTGGCTGGTGCAACGGTTCCTTCGTGGTGTGGCCTCTGTAGAACTCCCACCCGCCCATCCAGAGGGCCTCCCCCTGTTACTGTGAGAACCTGGTCCATCGTGCGTGCACCAGCCATGTGTGGCGCGCAAAGACGGGCCGTTAAGACATACCAGTCATTGCGCTCGATCACGCCTTCGGTTGTCCTGACTATGCCTTGCCATCGGACCATGACTGTGAGCGGCGAGAGCGTGCGGCGGCTGCTTCGCAAGTCTCTCAGCGCTATAATATAGTTCATGCGCAAACCGTCCTATGCCCGCAACGCTGTGGCGAACATCGTCGTTCGCAACGGTCGAACTGACACTTTTCTGGGTCCGTGACGTCTTACTAATAAAGATTACGGATACTACGACCTTTAATAGGCACTAAGCAGACAAAGTCG